CAAACCTACCTTTTTTCTCCATTATAAACAATTTTTTAAGTAGAATTTTCTCATTCATGGAATCATGAATCATTATAAATGGCAATGAAATTCATTTCAAATCATCTATTTACAAAACCTCTAGCACCTACTCTCACTTCCCTGGTGTTGGACTGTGACTGCTGATGACTAAGAATATATCTGCCATCCTTCCTCTCTCCTTCCTATTTTCCTCTTTCTTTCTAGAGAATCAAACCCAGGGACACTCTACCTCTGAGTTACACCCCCATCCCTTTTTTATTTTTGTATTTTGACATGGGAATCTCACAAAGTTGCCCAGATTTTACAAGCCTCGTGTCTCAGAGTCCCAGTTGGCCAGGATCACAGGTGTGCCCCACCACCCCAGCTGCCAGCCACTTTTTTTGATGGGAGATAACTGATTCATTCGCTCACAACACCATACAAGATGAGCTGCTAATTTTGTTCTGTCTTCTGACTGGGTGATTGATTATCACTGAAGATTATCCATAGAAATTAAGTGGATCCAACTCTTAACTGGAATTTTAATTAAATTATCATCCGGCTTTCAACATGTCCAATAGGCAGAACTATTCTCTGTCTCCTACCGCCTGCTCATCAGCATGGAGTTGGAGCACGTCCACCTCTTCACCTGACTTCCTGTTCAGGAGTCCAGGAGGCTCCTGGTACGTGGCTGTGAGGACACCTTGACTCTGCTCTCCCCACCCCCACACCAGCCTGAGCCAGTGAACCCTAGCCCCAGTGCTGAGGCCAGGCCACTAGGACAACAGGGAAATAATAATTAAATGAGCAAAAAACAAAGTATAGAGGAATGAATGAGTACACTAAGAAGAGACTCTGTCCACAGGGAATCACCTCACCCAGCCATTAGTAGGTGTTCCAGTCAGACTCCTGGATCCTGTGGTAAGGGGGACAGTTCCCACGGAGGATCCCTGCAGGGATTCCTCTCCCCTCTCCCATTAACACGGGGGAGTGAAACGTTGCTGGCTCTCCAGGGTGTCGAGACTCACCTCAGTTGGTTTGGGAGACGTCTCCTTTCTTATATCTTAGGAAACGTTAGTCATCACCTATTCCATAGAACTTTCATTTTAAAAGATGAAATGTAAAACCGTGCTCCTTGACAATGTGGCATACATGTGCAAGCCCATGCTCACAATCTCTTAAATATCCTTAGCATTCAGGAAAACCAGAGAGCATCTCTTACTTTTCAGATAGCAGAGAATAAAAATTCAGGTAACTACCTGAGTAGGTGAGCATATGGGAAAATTGACACTGCTGTACATTGTTAGTATATTTTGGTGCTCCATTTTTAAAGGTTTGTCAATTCGATAAAAATTGTAAAAAAAAATATATTTTGTAATTTAATAATTCCTTGTCCAGGAATGCATTCTTCATAAGTACCTGTAAAATAAGATGCACAGGAACACTTACTGTAGTATTATTTACCATAGCAAATAAAACTCCTTTAATCAACTTAAAGAAAGGGCATAGAAATTATTCCTGCAAATGTTAAAAATAATGAGAATTATCACTATGTGCTTCTACCAAGAGAGCTACATCAAACATCCCCTTTGGGATTTTTTTAAAGAAACATATTTATGTTATGTGTTCACACCTTACATGAAAGAGAAATTCTAGAAAGATATATAAGAAATTAATGTCAGTGGCTACCTCAGGGAATAAAACTTACAGAAGTAAAGGCAAGTTTTGTCTTCAAAACTTTTACCTCTTTCCACATTTATAAATTATTTAAATGGGCATGTGTTACTTTATAATTGTTATAGCTTAGATGAGAAATGTACCCCCAAAAAAGTTCATGTCAGACGATGCAGGAATGTTCAGAGGTAAATGACTAGATGATGAGGGCTTAACCTAACGGGTGGATTAATCCATTTGATAATTAATAATTAGAATGCACTAAGTGGGTGATAACTATAGACAGGTGGGGCATGGCTGGAGGAAGTAGGTCACCAGGGACATGGCTCTGTGGTCTATATTTTGTCCTTGGCAACTTGTTCCTTCTCTCTCTCTCTCTCTCTCTCTCTCTCTCTCTCTCTCTCTCTCTCCATCCATCCAAGCTCTTCCACTGTGTTCTACTTCACCTCGCACCCCAAAGCAATGGAGTAGACTGACCATAGACTTAATGTCTAAAACTGTGAGCACAAATAAACTTTTCCTCCTCTAAGTTGTTCTTTTCAGGTATTTTGGTCATACTGACAAAAAGCTGCCTGACACAATAATATAAAAACTAATTGGTGGGGGCTGAGGTTGTGGCTCAGTGGTGGAGAGCTTGCCTAGCATGTGTGAGGCACTGGGTATGATCCTCAGCATCACATAAAAATAAATTAATTAATTAAATGAAGGTATTGTGTCCACCTACAACATCTATATACATTTTTAAAATAATTGGTGGGAAAAAAGAGACTTATATCTAAAATAAAATAATTCAGGGGTGGAGAAGACCTTCCCAAGCAACACAAAGAGAGAAATCACAAACAAAAAGACCGACAAATTTTGCCATGTGAATTTGTTTTAAATTTTAATGCCAAGGGAATAGATATCATTAAAAAGTGCTGCTTAGACTTGGCAAAAGATGTTTAAACTTGACACCATCTCTTTTTTTCCCATAAAAAAATAAGCAATAAACTGGATTACATCAATATTTAAAATTCCTTCCTAAAAGCCTCAGGAAAGATATGAGAAGATTAGCACCAGCATGGAGAAAATATTTGCAAATTATGTATCAGGCAAAGTCCTTATATCCAGAATACCTAAGAGCTCTTAAAACTCCATTGTTTTCTTTTTAAAAGCAAGTGAACCAATCATAGGTGAGCAAAGTACATGAACCGATATTTCCCTGGAGAGGATGTAAAGATGTTCAACTTCACATGCCAACTGAAACCACAATGAGATTTCACTACATACCTATCAGAATAGCAAAGTAGAAATTAGTGACAATACCAAAAGCTGGTGAGGACACAGAGAAACTGAATTACTCATGTATCACTGGTGGGAATGGAAGCTAGAACTGCCATCCGGGAAGGAGTTTAGCTATTTCTTTAAAAAAAAAAATAAATAACATGCAAATACCATATGACCCAACAATTGTACTTCTGGACATTTATCTAGAGAAATGAAAACTTATGCTGACAGAAACCTGGACTTAGGTGTTCATTGTAGCCTTACCAATAATAATAGACCAAAGCTGGAAGCAACCCTAAAGTCCTTCAGGGAGGAAAGGTTCAACAGCCATGAATCCAAGCCATGGAACTCTACACTACAATAAAGGAGAGTGATCCTATGATGCCTGCAACAGCCTGGATGGAAAAAGACAAGCCCAGAAGGTCACCTACTGTAGGATTCCATTTCTGTAACATTCTTGAAAGCAGAAAATGCAGAGATGAGTAACAGATCAGTGGCTGCTAGTGGTTATGGACAGTGGAAGAGGGTTGATGTGGATATAAAAGATTAGCATGAGAGAACTTTTTGTATCTTGATTATGATAGTGCTTACATGAATCTACGCACAAGATAAAATTGTATAGAACTATATACACTCACACCACACACACACACACACACACACACACACACACACACACAAGTGCATATAAAACTAGTGAAATATGAATAAGTTCTGTAGATTGCACCAATGTAATTTTCCTGGCTTTAATATTGTATCACAGTTATGAAAGATGTTACCTTCGGGAGAAACTGAGTGAAAAGGATGTGGGACCAAATGAAAAGGTGTTTATTTTAAAAATAATGGAGGAAAAAACTGAAAGATAAAAATATGTTAGGAAGTACAAACAAAAGAAGACAAGTAAAATTTTAAAAAGCAGGATTTAAGACACATTATTAAATAAGGTTCATATTGAGGAAAGTTATAGAGATAAGAGACAAAGTATGAAAGTCTTTGAAAAAAACTGAGAAATATACAACAAAATACAACTGTAGTGGGAGGATTTAACATACCAATGTGACTTTTGAATAAAAATATTGAGCCTTGCATTCTACAGATGAAGATCAAATATTCTATTCATGTACCTTGTAATAGTTACCAAAGTATATCATATTAACTACAAAATACCTCAAGAATTCCAAAATGAAGAAATTTCAAAGTCCACAGCTTGACCATTTTGCCTTAAAAATTCATCGAAAAGCTGGGTGTGGTAGCACATGTCTGTAATCCCAGATGTTAAGGAGGCTTATAGGAGGATGGTGAGTTCAAAGCCAGCCTCAGCAACGGTGAGGCGCTAAGCAACTTGGTGGGACCCTATCTCTAAATAAAATTTAAAAGGGCTGAGGATGTGGCTTAGTGACCAAGTGCCCCTGAGTTCAATCCCTGGTACCCCCCCCAAAAAAAAAATCACCAAAAATATAATTAAAAGTAAAAGGTAAAAAATAATACAAAATAATCTGGGCAAGGAACTATACTCACAGATGCTTGGAAATTTTGTAAAATAAGAGAATGCTTATTTTATATTGTGTTGACCAAGATTAATTTAATTGAATATCTCAAAATAATGGATAGTGCTATGAGGAAGCACACACTACCAAAATCAAAATTATAAATATTAACTAGCAATAACTTCAGCACAATGTAACAAATAATGACTCCCCTAAAATGTACTTGGTGAAAATGGTTTTAAAGGCAGATTCTTCCAATTTATCAAGGCAAATATAAAAATAATGATATTTAAGGGGGTACTATGATTATATTTAAGAAATGAAGGCACTCTCAGTTTATTTTACTCATATATTGAAACTCGGATAATGGCAAATTCAAGACCCATGCACACAAGCACATAAAGTTACTCTCTTGTAATGTGATGGAAGTATAAATTGATGTAACTTCTCTAGAAAGCATAAATTAAAATTTAAAAATATATAGGCCTTTTTACCTGAAAATTCCACTTAAAAGAACTTTCCCTAGGGTGATAATGTTCCACATATAAAAGATTATTTGCACAAGAAGAGTCAGTTCTTTTTTGCTAGCACATATACTAAAATTGGAATGATACAGACAAGATCATTGTGGCCCCTAGCAAAAATTATATGAAAATTCACAAAGCATTCCATATTTTTATGGAGAGAGCATGGTTAACAGGTAGAGAGATGCAGTTAGGACAAATAACTTCTAATATTCTGTAGTACAGTAAGATGACAACCTTTGACAACAATTAATTGTATATTTCAGACTACCTAGCAGAGAGGATTTTGAATATTCCCAGCATAAAGAAATGATAAATGTTAGAGGTGATGGACGTACCAATTATCCTGATCTGATCTGATCATTCACATTGTATACATGTATTCAAATATCATGCTATATCCCATAAATGTGTACAATTAGGATACGTCAATTAAAATGCAAAAAAATAATCAAAAGATGTATTTTAATGGCATTATTAGCAACAAACATTTAAACACACACAAATACAAATAGAAACAAATGTTTACTATAGAGATTTCTTTTTCAGTCACTTCAAGTTCTTTAACATGCTTCCCATCAAGAGATGGAATCTATTTCCCCAGCTCTTGAGTCAGGACCTACATGTGACTGCATGGAACCAGGGAGCACTGTGGAAAGGGTGCTTTGTGAGTTCTGAGGAGATCAAAAAAGCCACATGACTTCCAACTGGCTCTCTGGAGTACTAAGCTGTCCAGTGAGTTCAGCCACCACAAAGTCACTACCCCAGCTTAGTACAGCCTTCCAGCCAAACCTCCACCCCAACATGCTGCACGTGGAAGTGAAACCAGTTAGTCCATCCATTTGAGTCTTCCTCAGTCCTGGCATTGAGCAGAACAGCCATCCCACTATGCTTGCCTGAATTTGTTACCCTCACTATAGGTAAGCATCTACAAATTGGTTGGTGTGTTATGCTATTTGGTTTAGGGCAATTTGTGCAGCAACCATTATTGAAACATCCATTAGCTAAAGCATTTATTAACTAATTAGTAGTGAAATCCTATGGCACCATCTGAAATGATAGGTTGTGATTACATAACACAGGAAAATCATGTAGTGTCCAGTGGAACTATTACATGTGCATTGGTTGAGGTTGTGGGGTGGATAGATAGAGATATATCTAGAAGGATTGTCACCTAGATATAATTGTTGCCCTGGATGGGCAGATGCTTTGTGGTTGCAACTTCCTTCTTTACTTGAGCTGTTGTGTTACAGTTTTCTATTCTATATTCTAGTTGTAGACTCATCCTCCAGGTGCTGTGCCTGTTGGCTGATAAATAATCCACAGTTGTTCCTTTGCACACGGAGAATTGCCCTTGGCCAAATGGAAGTCCTTTTGCCAGAGTCCATTCATATCCCTGATCTCAGCCAACAACTGAACAACACAAGGAAACCAAAGCCAGCCTACTTGCTTCCAGGGACAGCCAATTCTGGGGTATCATTAACTTCCTATGAGATCAGGCTGAAGCTGGTCTCCAGTTGAGACTCTATACCCTTGCTTAAATTCCCCCTTTCCTTTCCTGCTACCCTCAGTTCCCTTCTCCTGAAGGGACATTTTCAGTAGATCACCCAAAGAAGAATCTCCATCTAGGGCTCAGCTTCTGTGGAGACCATTCTGAGTCAAGTGCATTATTTTCACCACCAAAAAATAACAAGAAAAAAGCAACCAAAGATGTGTTGGATCAATTACACTGATGGGATTAGGATAAAGTAAAGGCAATATCACTTATCAGATCATAGCATCTCTAACTATGCTTAGATGGACTTTCTGGTGCCTCAGAAGGAGCAAAGACCAAGACATCAAACCCACAGAGGTTTTCTTTGTTCTGCATCATTGGGAGTCTTGGTCATTTAGATTTCTAGAAAAGTCAGCCTTACATTATGCTTTCCTCTCTTCCTTTCTCTAAGCTTCTGTCCCCTTGGAAACAACTATCTTTACCTCATCAAAGTCTTTAATCTTGCATCTGCTACCAGAGAACTCTTTTTTTCATTGAAACAGATCAAGAAATTCATTCACCAGACAAAAATATCCAAGGCAGGGCTGGGGTGTAACTCAGTGGTAGAGTACCTGCCTCACACATGTGAGAAACTGGGTTCGATTCTCAGCATCACATTAAAAAAAAAAAAAAAAAAAAAAAGATGTTTTTTAAAAAATGTCCAAGGCAGACGGTAAGCCTGTTTTCACAAATAGGAGCATCTTGGAAAAGCGACGACTCCAGTGGTCCTGGAGGGAGACACTCAGGTCTTCAGGGACACGAGGACTTCAAGAAGTCACTTGGGTCAGCCTCTACTCTGTGCCTCCGGAGCCTCCTTCCCACGCTGTGCTATTTTTTGGTCAGCCATTCAAATGAGTGCAATCTACGGCAACCTGGACAGAAAACTATCAAGATTTTTGACAAATGTCTTTCAGGAATGGGCCTGAGGCCACCAGGATCCAAAGATGCATTAAAGATTCATCACAGAACAACAGACCTGTCCTGTCTGACCTTAGCATAATGCTAGTGACAGGGAGGGGAAAGGCATCCTACCCAGATTCCCCACCCCCAAGATATTCAGTCTCCCTCCCTCTTCCACTCCACCCCTCGGTATTTTCTTTGAGGACGAGTAACATTGGAGTGAACTGTAACTGAGTCACTCAGAATTAATGTCTAAGAAGTAGAACACTCTCTTCCTTTGCAGTGACTTAATAAAACAAAAAATTTATCCCTTCATAGGTCAGAGGATGGTGAGCCACAGGCATTTCTAAAACAGAAATACACTTATACACACACACACACACACACACACACACACACGGAGTAAAGCATTCTTAAAAGCCACTAGACTAGTCTCAGAAAATCAGGAGTAACTCTTTATGCAGAATAACCCCAAGGGACAGTAACAGCACGTACCTGAACACTTGAACATATTTATTCTGGATATATGGAATGTGGCTTTCTTTCATAACATTTTGTGAGATATTTTACTTAAGCTCCTGCACACATAAAAAAGAAGAGAAAGCAAGGGAGAAAAGAAAGAAAGAAAAAGTCACCACCTGCCAGACTTACTCCATTTTTATCCTTAGTTTGAAATCCTTTTATCATTGCATTTATATTCAGAGTCTGCTAAGATGACATCATAGTTCTTATTACATTTTTAAACAGCACAAAGCATAGTTGCATGCCAAAAATATACATTGTTAGCATGTCATGTTTTTTATTCATTTCTCCTACTTCTATTAAATGATGAAAATAGTTATTCAAAAATTCCCACTTCCATTTGGCCACAAATCCTCTAAATAGTAACATAGGGCCTTACATACCTATTCTTCGATTATTCAGTCAGCAAACATACTTATTGTTCATAATAATAGCAAACAATGACTGGGGTCATACACACGCAAGAGAGACCCTGTGCTAAGGCTTTACATGCATAACTAGTATGTTGAAAACCAGGACTTTCATGTTGAGTACTTGTTAGAGTAAAGGCTAAGCTTGTTTAATAAGTAACCAAAATATGGTAGTTTAAATGAGGATTTTTTTTTCTCTTTCAGGACCACCTAGAGGGAAATGCATAGAAGAGCTTGGCCACCTTCACCATGCTTTCCAATAGCTATTTACCAGGGGAAAAAAATGAAATATTCATGGGAAATAACTTATCTTTAAAAAAAATCAGAACTACAACTATCAGAGTTGAAAAAACTAAGCATTTCCTTCCAGGCAAAAGGGAGTAACAGTACTAAAAATCAAATTCAGTGAGTTAAAAAATAGAAGGGGCTCAACATAAGAAAGAAGCACATAAGGCAAGATTCTGGAGGAATCCTTTGATTGATTTCGAAGAGGACTATGAATCCCCTTCAGGATGGTCATTTCTCAGCTTTACATCAAAAAAGCTTTCGAAGAGTTCCCCAAGAGGTCCAAGACTGTTTGCAGGCATTTTGGCATGCACATTCTCAGAACCTGGCCGATTGTTTATCCAACAAGAAGCTGACACAAAGTTGTATATATCTTTTCTACTCCACTCAAAACTGCACACATAAAAAACTGCTGCTCTAAGCAGTCCAAAAGCTACATCAGCTGGAGGGGAGACTGAGAAATGTCTTTAACTCGGGGGTTCTATGGCTAAAAGGAAGATAGGAAGAATGGTGGCTAAGTAATAATCATTGATTCCTATCATATTCTACATTGCCACCCAAGTATCCTTCCTTCTGCCAATTCACAGGACCCCTTACCCTTCCTCTAGAAAGATAAACACATATTCCATTCTGTTATTGCATCCAGCCCAATATCTGGGATCTACAAATGATGCACAGTAGACTATCAGATCTGAGGTTGGTTCCTAACTCATAGGCAGGTGACTTGAACTGTCTCCCTTTCCAGCCACCTAACCTCACATCAAAAAGAAAGTGGTAGAACAGAAACGGTCCGTCCACAATAAAAATTTCCACTTAGAAAAGAATAAGAAATACTGTGTCATCACTGGCTCATAGCAATGATGATATCCTGCTAAGCGGTAATTTTAAGGACCCCTGCCCTTGTGAGGAAGTTCTAGAGAGCACTCTCTTTGGGCAACTCATTTCTTGCTCTTTTGCATGTTTGAAAACCTGATGGATTCCTCAGGGGTGAGAAAATTCACAGGCCTTTGCGATCTAGACTGTTTCTTGGGAAATATAATTACTTTCAAAACTTAATGGCTTATCTGTTTTCTTCCAGTTGGTTCCATGCAGTGGTGTCTTGGGTTTGTCATGCACCAGCTTGCAAGAACCTGGAGGGTGTGTTCCCTCCCAACTCCATACAATCAGTGGTATCATGTTGATAGCATGAAACAGGCCATGTGGGAGTATTTACACCATGAAAGCCAAACACTAAAAGTCAGAACATTTTTAAACAACAACAATTAAAAAAAAAAAAAAAACCCATGGTCATTATACATTTACTAGTATCACTGGTTCTACACTAAAGCAACCATGCCCAAGAACTCTCCTGAACACTGTACTTCCTAAGCATGCTTGCTCTCCTCTTCTTTACAGGTTTCTATACGGCTTCCTGGGCAGCCCATTCTCTTATTTCAACAAAAGCTGCCTTAAGGCTGAGTCAGATGTCATTACTTTCATGTAATTAATGTCTATGGGCTACAT